TCTATTAGGACTGAATCCGAATTCAAAGTGGTGGGTCATTTACCAAAGAAAAAAAGAAAGCAAACTTCACATTAAATAACAAATAGTGAGCTCCCTAATTGACATGTATAAACAACTTTATTTTGTCCCTTAAATAGCATACCCTGCCCACCATAAACTATAGTTCTACATTCTTAAAGCCAAATGCAAATGGAAATCAAAATCATCCATGCCATATTCTAACAAAACCTAATGTGATTCATCAAAAACACAGGGAGGTAATGACAAGTCCTTTGACTGTTAACTTATTTTAAGTGGTTCAAATGTAAAGGTGAAATGAATATTTGCCCCAAGGTGGAATTTCACTAAATGAAGTAGTAAAATTTTCATGAACAATAGCATCCTTTTGGTTTCCTAAATGTACCGAAATAAAAAAACCAAGAAGTTATAGTTAGTTCTTCACTTATTAATAGTGAAACAAAGCAAAATCGAATATAGATTTGATAATTCTAGATTAGGGATGAGCAACCAAACTACCTTTTGGAATGTCGATTTGCAAAATTGTTGATTTTCTCAATTTTCCTCAACAATTTTCGGTGTAGGAATATTGTTCATTTGATACACTGAAAAGGATTCCTAGCTAGAGAGTTTTTTTAGTCAACAATATACTAGGCCTTGTATATAGATGTCTGTTCCACATGGATCCTTTATTGTAGAAATCAATGATAATATTCCATATTAATGATATAGATGCACAAGTGATCAAATTCCAAGCTATAACTCATGAAAAGCCTTCTTCTCTAAATAAAAGGTCTTTTTCTCTTGCTTTAAACCCTGGTAAAAGGGTCTCATGTATATGGAACAGTAAGGCGTTTCTTCGTGATTGATCACATAGCCAAGTTGGCTCTTGGTATGCTTCATGTGTTTTGACTAGTTTGAAGAATCGAAGTCTACATGCTTTAAGATTCAAGAAGAAAGGTAAAAAATCCTAACCTTTTTTGCATATTTATTAGTCCAATTTGTGCTTTTCACTACTTAACTGAAATTTGAAAGCCTTCACTCTTCAAATCAATCCAAGATGATTCATTTTTTCAGTGGTTGAATGGAGAATGGAGAGAGAGACAGTAAGGGAGAAGAGGATACTCCTATATAGTGAGCTGCTATGTGAAGAAGAGTTGATGGTGAGTGTGACTACTCCTAGACGATGAGACCAAAGAAGTAGACCCATTGCCACAGGCCAAAGTTGAGAGTTTAGAGTACCTGTTCCCTAATCCCCTTTCGTTTTCCCTTTCGGTAGAATGGAGAATACAATGGTCATTTCGAAACGCCACAAAAATGACCATTTTGAACATCTAATAATATAAATATTACATATATTGTATAGTTTATACAATATAAAATTACACATATGCCTTGGGTCAGTTCCTAATCGACTCGGGTTAGGGTAGAACCGGTATCGACCTAATAATAATTGGGACAAAAAATTGGGAAACAGAACTGACCCATCGATACAAATACTATAACTAGAACTGATCTAATCGGTTTTGGTCTATCATGTCGGACCCGATCCATTGACAACCCTACACTTAAGTCTAAATGACCCTTAGTTTCAACCACCTTATGAAGCCCAAGGATAATGGATTGACATAAGATAAAGCCCATAAAGTTTCAGCCCTATAATGGTCATTTGCTCTCAACCTCTCAGCCCTAAATGATCAAACACTACTCATAGGGAATAACCTCTTCCCTGACTATTGTATGTAGTGCCACACACTTTTCTAATGGATCTTAAGATATAAACATTTTGCAAATCTTTTTCATAAAATAATATATCATAAATATGAATACATTTTGCAAGAGACTTCAGAAATAGTTGCAATCCACTATTGATAGTTTTAGGTTTTCATCAGATAGAGTGTTAACCCTGATATTTACTTTGGTTGGCAAAGATGTTGATCTTATCGCAATGACCACCCACTTAGGTGATATTCTAAATTGCTCTAACATACCCAGGTATTTGACTTTAAGAGGATCTCACTACTTGGCATATTAAAAGTAGCTTGATCCAATGCCTAGTGCAGTATCATTATCAAGTCCGAGGTTAAGTGTAAATTTGTTTCATTTGTCTCCAATGTCTAGGGCATAACTTATGGTCCAACCCCAACAATTGAGACATGTTGTTCCACCATTTTAGCAATACATCAATGTTATCCTTGTTAAGATAAATTCTCAAGTTTATTCAATGGATAAGAACTTTCTAAACTAGCATAACTCTCATATGTGTTGAGTTTAAGGGGTAATTCATAGAAACATACTAACACTCAGGTACAATTGAGTATAAGACTTAGTCTAACAACTCTCATTGGCACTCAAGTCCAATTGGGTATAAGCCTTAGGGCCTATTAGTTTCCTCTTAACTCTTATCTCTTAAGAAGAATCTTTTAACTTTAAGAGAAAATTGGTTGTTTATTTCCTCTTATATCTTATCTCTTAAAGTGCAATCATACAAATTTTTGTTTTCCAATGATACCTCAAAAAGACAAACAAAAACTCTCATATATGGGGTCAAAATGGATATTTGATAACTTTTAGAATTCAGAATTCAGAACAACATTCTCTGCATTCATAGTTTAGAGGAAAGAAAAGTTCACCAATACCCATATATACCTCTTAATGTAATTATTGCACCTTCAAATGTCAGACTTCAGAGCAAACAAATAGGTCCTTAGTCTCATACTATCCACATGTCTCTTAAACACTTTTTGTAATGTTGGCTTAGTCAATGGATCTATCACATTATCCATTGATGTTACCTTCTGAATCTAGATTTCTCCTCTCTCAACTATCTCATTCAAGATATGGTATTTCCTTTTGATATACTTAGACTTTGGTGTAATTTGGAAACAAATCACATTCGGAGAAGTTTCAAAGAAAAGAACCAAAGCCAAAAAAATGGAAGAAAACATCTTTTCACTAAATAATTAAGAGAAAATCAACAAAACTCCCCTATATTTGCCCTAGCCACTATTTATATAGTTTTCTTTACACCCTTATGCCTCCTACAAGCTACAAGGAAGTTTCCTAATCTAATAAAACACTCCTTATTATAATCTTACTAAATCTCTTCAAAATGAAATGACTAATTGAATACAAATTTAAAAATCCCGCTATAACACTAACTTGGTAAATGGAAACCAAGATAGATAGATACAAAAATCTTACATTTATGCTATCTTGGTAAATACGAATTGAGTTGAGTTGTCAGAAGCTAACGTAGTAAGTGTTTACTCAGTTGGGCCAAATCCTATATTGCATCATTCTCCCCGGGTTGGAAGGAATCCAACCTCGGATTCATGTTACCATTTAAGAGGCCTCCAACATATATTGTTGTACTTCTTTGTTTATATCCCTTTGATACATAACTAGTGGTGTAAACTTCCAAAATGAATAAGGATTTCTTTATTTTATCTCTTAACCTTTGAACCACATTTCTTAATTTTCAAATAATTCAATTCCTCCTTTATTGACCATTCTGAACATAGAAAAAATGCATGCCAATATGGATTTTTGTTGAATTGTATGAAGACAATGTTATCAAAGCCTTCGATATGATAAATATTGTCCCCATCATCTTGAAATTCATTATGAAGGATAATATATTCCTCCTAAGCAATGCGCTCTTCATCATAACATTGGAGGTTTGTTTCAATCAACACGTTGTTCTTTAATAGATGTTATTGAGGAGAATGGCCATGCAAGATTTTCGTTACAATCCTCAACAATATTAAACTGATCAATGAAGTTATTAGATTTGAATTCTTTTGGATTATACTTCTATGAAACTATAGGAATTTAATCTGGATATCTATTTTCCACTACTTCTGTTCATCACCCACAACTATAGTTAGCTTGGTTGCTTGTCTTGATGATGATAAAAAAACAAGTGAAAGAACCTCCATGAAACTTTGGGATCTCAATTTTAAGACCCGCTTTTCACCTTTTTTTGTCACCACCCGCAACTACTACTGATGTAGTTGCTTGCCTTGATGATGAAAAGGAACATGTGGAGGCACTTGCATCAGAGTTATTGTCCCCTGTCTTAGAATGAAAACGTAATGATTTCAATTCTTGAGCAAGTGCATCAACTTGTCTTTTCAACTCAACCACCTCTTATTGTGTTTTGTTGTTGAGTTCCTAACCCATGATGTGAGTCACTTGTTTCTTCTTAAAAGCCATAATCCAAAGAATGATCAAATTTGTGTTATAATACCAAATAGTGCAATTCAAAAACAAATCACATTTAGGGAAACTTCAAAGAAAATAACCAAAGCTGGAATAAACAAGAAGAGCAACTTTCTTCACTAAATACTTAAGAAAAAATCAACAAAGCTCCCCTAATTATGCCCCATCCACTCTTTCTACAGACTTCTTTACACCCTTATGCCTTCTACAAGAGAGTTTCCTAATCTAATAAAACACTTTATTATAATCTTACTAAATTTCTTTAAAAAGAAAGCCCTAATTGAATATAAATTTAGAAATCCCATTGTAACGCTAACTTGGTAAATGTGAACCAAGATAGATAAATACATAAATCTTACATTTATTCAATCTTAATAAATACAAATTGAATTGGGTCATCGAAAACCAACCTAATAAATATTTATTCAATTGGGTCAAATCCCGTACTATGTCAAACTTTGAGTGGGTTCTTGGCTCTTTGACTTAAATAATGGCTCTAGTATTATTACACAACGAGTGGCATGCTAGAAGATAAAATTCCTAAATGCTAAAATTTAATATACTATTCTCTCTTTTCTATTTTGAGGCGTGTGCATGAAACCAACACCTATTCATGCCACGAGTATTCATTCCAAGATCACGATTTGGCATCCAATTTTTGTTCTTGAAATGTTGACAGCTTAAAGGTAGCTGTACTATTCAAGTGGTTTGTATGGATTTTTCTACTTTTTCCTCTCCGTTTCCTACCTTTTTCTTTCGAACCAAGCACAGCCTTAAGGATTTTACCGTTTCAGCGCACCAAAAGAAAGACTACATTGTGGTCCCGGGAAACACAACCCATCACGACTCCTATCGTGCTCCCGAATCCAGAAGGGTTCGATGATTCGCTCCATCCTGGTTTTTTGACTTTATTCTCCGTCCACGATACCGCGTAATAAACAGAAAAGAAAGTCGGATGATCGAAGCAACCATCCTTTTTTGAATTCCATTGCATGTAAGAGAGAGAGAGAGAGGGGATTTGTTGGAAACGAGTGGATCCGGTAGTGCGTTCTTAGAATTGTAGAGCGATGAGTTTCCTGTTCGGCAAGAGGAAGACCCCTGCAGGTATGTATTTCGATTTTTTTTTTTGGTGAAGTTTCATTTTTGTTTTTCTTGAATTTCTAGTTGTTTTAATCCAATTTTCTGTGGCATTCTGGTCCAAACTCTGCAAATTTATTTTCTTTGTATAGAAATTTTGAATAATGAAGATTTCTCTGAACTTGATATAGAATGACCGGCATTAGTTCTGATTACAGGAGTGAAAATTTAACCATGATCAGGAGACATTAACGTGATCAATTGACCAACCATGCGATGAAAACTGAGGGATTTGTATCCAGTATTTTTGAACTGCCATCAATCCGGTCAATTTCATTGATAGTTGAGGAAAACACAAAATCAAAAAGAAATTATATATTGGTTTTCCTGTTAACCTCATTACAAGTTCTTCAATCATAGTGATGTTCATTCTTGGAGTTTTCCTATTTTTTTTTTTCTTTGGGGGGGGGGGATTTTGTTTTAAGTGAGGCTGATAGCAAGTCTGTTGAGGATTAGTACTAGTTGGGACTAGTCATGAATAAATTTTTGAAAAGAAGAAATAAGTTAAGATTTGGATTAATTGTGTAAGAAAGAAATATATACAAGTGTAGCGTGTATACCAACCTGGTCAACATTTTTTTATCAGCAACCCCGAAATTAATTTTATTAAAAATATAAGAAAGCAGAACAAGAAGTTGTGAAAGAAACAAGTGGACACAAAGTGCCTAAACCCCCCAAAGTATTACAACTGAGCCTAAAACACAGTCTGTCTCTGAACCCCTTGCTTAGATAGACCATCTACCAAATTGTTGGCAGATCTTCTAATCCAGTTAACTTGAATGAACATGTCCTTAGAAAGCTGTTTGAACTGCCTGAGATCATTCCTTACGTGCCAAGACACTTTCTTCCCCCTTTTTAGCCAGTCCACAACTATTTTGGAGTCACCTTTAATAATTCACCTTTCAAAATCCAATTCTTTGGCTTTTCTCAACTCCAAAAACAGCTGCCAAGAATTCTGTTGTGGCCACATCACCTTGCTCAATTGGGATTGAGAAGAAAACACATATATTTCCTTCCTCATCCCTGATTACTTCTCCAATTCCAAAAGGGACCAGATTGATCCTATCAACTTGTTCCGACCTAGGATAATAAGCTCATGKGCTTGGTCTTACTTCACCGTCGAGAAACGAAAGAAGACTTCCATCTCCAAGCTTAGCTCAGACGTAGCTCGCTTCTTTTGGGGTGTGAAGCAGTGTCAAACCAAAATACCCAACAAGCANTTAGCTCAGACGTAGCTCGCTTCTTTTGGGGTGTGAAGCAGTGTCAAACCAAAATACCCAACAAGCATTAGCTCTCCCTGAAAAGGAGGTGATCCAGCCGCACCTTCCAGTACGGCTACCTTGTTACAACTTCACTCCAGTCACTAGCCCTGCCTTCGGCATCCCCCTCCTTGCGGTTAAGGTAACGACTTCGGGCATGGCCAGCTCCCATAGTGTGGCCGATCATTGTGGGTATAATGGTAGATGCCCGGGACCAAGTTACTATTATTTCTTTTTCCDCTCTCGTGTTGAGCTTCTCAATTTTTCTTAATAAATGATTAGCTACAAAAGGATTTTTTTTTAGTGAATGTGGCACAGCTAAATAATTCCCATCAAAGTTCAGTTTCAACTTTCAACCCACCACTAGATGGAGGTCACAGTCCATTGTTACCATTTGTCTTCTAGAAGATGAGTCATCTATAGCTTCCCAAGACTAGAAGAAATCATCAACCTTAAAATTTGAAAAAAGATTCAAGGTCTTGACTCAATGTGCCACTCTTAGGGTTATGACCTCTATCAAGGCTTCCTTACTCCTCTCGTTGTTCCCAGATGTTCTTGAGTTTCAGAGTTTCTTTCTTCCCAAATTGTCCATACTGCTGCTGCCCTAGTATTATCTCCACATCAACCTGCCCTTCCTAGTACAATTGCAAATAGAAGGGCTAAACAATCCTTCCAAGCTATCAAGAGGGAGCCAACTGCAACCAAAACGCAAAGCAAACCAATACCAAATAAAGCCAACAAAGGAGTAGGAGATTAAGAGATGAAATGTAGTCTCACCATTTAACCTTACATAAGCAGCATTAGTTAGGGCCTAGGGGGCAAGTACCAGTTTGGTCTCTTCCTTTGGAGCTTATCACAAGTGTTAATGCAGCTATGAAACACTTCCCAACAGAAAGCACCAACTCTAGAAGGAATGGGAATACACCATATTCCCTTAACAAGGAAAGAAGGAGAAGGGGAAGGTGAAGAGGCTATAAGAGAGGTAAACAAAGACAAGTGAAGAGCCCGATTGAATTAAGGGTTCATACCCTACTATCCAAAACACCATCCCCCAAAACCACAGAGTTCAGTAAGGTGAGCAAAGCAGACACAGGGAATTTCAGATTCTCTAAGATTCCTAATGAAGCCCAAATTCTAGTTCAACCCAAAAAGAGAAGAAAGGGAACATATAAACTAAAACATTAGTCTATTTTGAGATTGGAAAGAGCATAAAGGAAGGGAAAGGACTCCTTCAAAGGGGACTCCCCAATCCAAATATCTTCTTAGAACCTAATTTTCTGTCTTGAGACCAAGTCATACATAATGTGGTAGAGGAAAACAAGAAGAATATCATGGATGGCTTTCCAAGGAGTAGCCAGAGTAGCTCTATGAAGACAACCAACATCCCGTTCATTGTTTGACAGCCCATGAATACTTGCTACCACTTTGTGTCAAAGTCTCTCACTTCAAGAATCTCCACAACCATTTAGTCGATAAAGCCAAAATTTTCATTCTGATTTCTGACATTCCCAATCCCCAACCCTCCTTCCATCAATTTCACAACCTTCTCCCATCTAAGCAAGTGATCTTTCTTCTCTTCCTTGGGTTACCACAGAAAGTCCCTCATAATCTTTTCAATTTTTATCACAACATTTTGGGCATCCTGAAAACCAACATATAATAGACGGGAAGGTTAGCTAAGGTAGAGTTGATCAAAGTTATTCTCCCTCCAAAGAAATATAATTCCTTTTCCACCCAGCTAATCTCTTCTCAACCTACTCAACATTATGAAGAATGTATTGTATCTATAAGAAGGAAAGAGTACAAATACAAATATGTTCAATGCAAATCTATATCTATACTACTATTAAAAGTGTGAATGATGGTATGGAGCTTTTGTTTGACTAAAATACCCCAATTTTTGAATTTGGTCAATCTCTAATTGTAAGAACACAAATGTAATTTGAACAATAACTTTGCTCCTCATTCAAATCCCTCTCATTAAGTCTTATATTTAAGCTATTAATTTCCATTAACATTCATTGAATCCTATTCTTGACTAGAATACCCCTCTCTAATTGCAAGGGCACAAAATGTAATTTGAACTACTGCTTTTTTCCTCATTCAATTCCCTCTCATTAAGTCTTATATTTAGGGTATTAACTCCCATTATTTCATTGAATCCTATATTAATTAACCATATTAAAGAAAAATAAGTGTGACAAAGAATGATTATTTTTATTGATGATAGAAATAAAATACCAATTTAAAACCAACCCAAAAATGGAGTTGTTTTCTCAGTTAGTGGCGAGCCAACAATTCAACCTTTTATTAAACAATTCTAAAAATTAAAGAAAATGAAACACAAAATTATAAAAAATAAAAAAAATTGTAGAAAACATTTGGGCACATCTCTAATATTGTATATTCATCATATTAAACAAAAATAAGTGTGACAAATAAGAATAATTTTTATAAACAGAAGTATAAAAGACTTGTAGAAAATGTTGGAAACATTACTTACTATCATCATCATAAAAACTTGTCACATGCAAAGTACATGCAAACTTACTAGTACATACAAATTAATATAAAATACAAGGTTTTGCACTCTACATATTTGTATTTGTACTCTTTCCAGACTGAGACTGAGACTAAGCGACTTTGTTGCTACTATATTATATATCATGGTAAAAATACTTCTAGTAATCTCAACTGTTAAATTTGTGGCCCCTATCTTAAACATTTTAATGCCAAAAAATCAATCCAGTTGGATTACGTAACTATCTACAAGATTAATCTCCTTGCAATGGTAACCAAGGATTCTATCCTTCAGAAAATTTTATATTCCTTTTTTATGTTTAGAAGAAAATCTTATTTTCATTTCTAGCATATTTCATACACAGGATCTACGAGTTCTACAGATTGGTTCAACAAGACTACAGTCCCATTGAATAACAGCTGAAGTGGCTGAACTGAATGACTTATTGCTTTGTATTAGGAACAAATTTTTAAAGAGGTTGTAAAACTGGGTTGATTATTATACTCTGAAGTACTTTATTATTGAACTAATTTATCCATTAAAAGACAAAGCAGTAAGTCATTCAGTTAAACCACTTTAGTGATTATTAAATGGCCCTTACAGTAGTACCAGAGCTAATGTTTCTCTAAATTATAAAATGTATACGTTTAGCCAATGTAGATAATTATACAAATCAACATGACATACCTCTCTCTTTCTCATCTATTTATGTGTGTGTGTGTGTGTGTTTATAATTTACCTTACAGATTCAAAAGATAAAAAAGAAAAGAGTTACAATCATTGTTCATGAAAGCATAGAATGCACTTGAATAATAACTAAACAAAATCATGTTGGTGATTTAAAACATGACTAACCCATAAAATTGCAAATAGTTAATTATTTGTAAAATATAAATAAGAAAACAAATGCTTACCAAACTATAGGGTCACTGGGGAATCTGTTTGGTCAACTATCTGGATAGCCAGGGAAATCCTGGTTCTTTCTTTGACTGGTTGGCATAGATATCTTGTCCCTCTGACCTCACTTCTATCTAGATATACAGCTTCTTGGAGGTGAGGACCTTTAACAGTGGTTCCTTGGTTCCTTTGTGCAGAGCTTCTGCGGGAAAATAAGAGAATGCTAGACAAATCAATTAGAGAGATAGAAAGGGAGAGACAAGGTCTACAAACTCAGGAGAAGAAGCTTATCACAGAGATAAAGAAAAGTGCCAAGCAAGGGCAAATGGTGTGTACCATGTACTTTTAAAGATGTTTCTTTTGAATATATGGTTTAGCTTTTTCCATGTTTTGTCCAAAAACTGGTTTATCGTTATACAAGAGTTTGGACTTATGCATCTGATCTACCTACACCTTTCAGCGTGACAACCTTAAGCCATATCATCATTCTATCTAATATATTTAACATTAACTTTTTTCTTTCTTTCTTTAGAGAAATATGGTCAGTTCCCTTCTATATTAATCTCTTTTCATTTTAATGAATTTAACCTTTATTGTTAAAAAAAAAGTTTCAGGTCCCTTAGATTTCCTTTCTAGTTAAGATTTTCAAAGATAAATATTTATGTCCATTATCTCCAAATATATCCTATAAATAGGGCTATCTACGGATCGGGTCTGGGTCGGAAGTTTGGAACCAGCTGGAACCAGAACCGACCCAACATGAAATATAGAGGACCCGGACCCGATAGGGTCTGTAATTTTTGGACCTGGAACCGAATCGATTGGTTCTCAGGACAATCGGATCGGACCCGACAGGTCCGATTATAATAAATAAAAAGTAAATATTTATGTTTAATATATATTAAATATTCTATGTATATTCTATGTATAATATATATAATTTATTTATTTAATATAATTATACATTATATATTGGGTCGGGTCTGAATCAGTTCAGGACTAGGTGGAACCGGTTCTGAACCGATAGTAATCGGGACCCTATATCAAGACCCGGAACTGACCCGTCCGTTCCAGTTCTTGGAACCAGAATTGGCCCAATCGGTTCGGGTCCGTCGGATTGGACCCAACCCATTGACAGCCCTACCTATAAATAGTTGTCAAGGTGTTGCCTAGGAGACTAGGCACCCTTGGTTGGGTGCCTTGCCCAAATGCCTTTATAACAACTAGGCAACTAAGTGTCTACCTAAGCGACAAAAATGAAAGGGCGGAAGCCTTATTATAATATCATTTATATTGCTATATCTTATTAACGTGTGTTAATACATTCTTTTATATACTATATATATCATTTATACTTTGTTTTAAAGTTTTACTATTAAGAAAAAGAAAGAAAGAATAGAAGTATAGAGAGATTTCTTATTTTCCCTATTCTCTCTCTCTCTCTCTTCAATTAAATAAAACAGCAACTCCATCCTTGTTTTTTTTTCTAATTTGCTTTCCATCTTGAATTTTTATCATATAAAGTTAATAAGCTTATTTAGTTGCTATTTTATATGAACTTGCCCTATTGAATACATATTATAGTAATATTATTTTTGAAAATATTGAAATTAATATCTTAATAAATTTCTGATTTTTTCTTGATGATAAAAAATAATGAAATTAATATATTTAAAAGATTTTTATCTTTTAGGTTGATGATTTGCTCCATTCCAAGAGGTAATTTTATGTTCCTAATAAAAAATTGCTATTTTTTCAATTAATATGCATTTTTGAATAAAAATAAAAATTCATTAAAAACAAAAAGAAAGTACAATAGGAAGGTGATGTGAAATCACCTAAGAGAAGAAAGCAACTGCCCAGCATCAACCAACTCACACACAACCAACAAGAAACAATCATGCTGCAAACACTCAAAGAAACAAAAGCAATAACACAAGAACCTCTCTGATTCAGAAACACATCAGTCTTCCCCTTCGAACGCTCCTCCTTTCCCTACATAATGCTTCTTCATCCTTTCTTCTTTGTTATTCCTTTCAAACACTTCCCTAGCATACTCCTCTCTATCCCAGAAAACAGACCTAAACTCTTGCCAACCCTAACATTCCTATCAGCCAAAGTCCAAATGTCCACTTTTCCTACCTCCTCCTTACCAACTAAAGGAAACTCAATATAACTCTTTTCTGCAATGCTCCCTCCTTTCCTTTTTCCTCCGACCCAATGCCTAACTCATCAACTTCCTCTGAAACTTTTGACGCCTGAGTCTCCAAACCATCTGAAGCTTAAATTTCCTGACCACTGCCTGCCTTACCATCAGCAGCCTTCGCTTGAAATCTTGTTCTTCTCTGAAACTTTTATACTTGTTTGTAGGACCAGTGCTAGGCAGGTCATCTTTCAATCTTGAGAATTTTGGTGACATGGACGAGATGGGTCTTACTTGTAAATCAGGCTTTCTTCGAGGCCTCCAAATCATGGACAACTTCTTCCTTGGTTACCAACTTCCTTCTCCTTCCCAAATCAACCCCTAACTTTTTGACTATCACTTTGGACCTAAAGAAAGCCTCGCCATCCTATGGTCTGCACCTCAAACTTACACTGCCTTTGAACTTAAGGTGGCAGCTCTCATCCGGAGTTCTACCATCTTCCCCTTCACAAACCTCCCCTCCTTATCCTTCTAAGCACTCCCTTCCCCCCTGACAGCTTTCTCCACCCCTTCTTATTTTCCTCTTTCCTTCTCCCAATATTTTCATCAAACTGATCTACCTTTGAATGAATCTCCTCTACAACCATGGAACCACCTCAGAATAACCGGCACTCCACTCACCTGGACTTCCATGGGGCTCTTATATATCAAAACATCACATTTGTTCATCGCCATTACAAGAAACCACAGTCTTCAAGCATAGCCTCTTCTTTCCAGACCTATTGTATTTTGCAACCACCCAAACCTAGTCCTCTTCCTCTTTTCTTTTGAGATGGAAAGAAACTCTGCTCCTTATTGAGAAGAAGACTAGCTTAACTTTTTTTATCAGCAATAGGAAAATTTTATTAATTAATATAAAAACATTACAAGTTTTAGGTAGCCTTGGCTACCCCACACAAACTTAATAGCAAATAGGATCCACACTTTTGGATTGAAAAGCCTAAGGTAATCTGCAAATGGCGGATAGGGGAGTTGTGGTGAGGAACGTTGGGAAGTTAAAGGAGAGGTTGGAGTTTTTGCAGCAGTGCTTGGTGGGAAGGTTTATTGAGGCAGATCCGGATATAAGATAAGTGGAAGATTGGGCTTGGTCAAAATGGTATGGTGTGGGTTTCGAAGAAGTGAGGAGGTTAGGAGCAGGGTAGTTTTTTGTTCAGCTTTACAACAAGGAGGGATGCGGAAGAAGTTCTTTATCGTGAAAGTTTTGGGAACAAGGCTCATAAAAATGATTTAAGTCGAATTAATGAGAAGGGAAAGTCGAAAAGTCTTGAAAAAGGAAGAAGGGAAGACATGTCTGAAGACGAGGAGAGACAGGGAGTCAAGGAGATGCATGGGACGGCAAGAAAGTTAATTCGAGCCATCCATCGCATTGGAAAACGGATCTCGCATGATGGTTTAGTGTGCTGTGCAACTAAATACATTTACAGCAACGAAGAGGATTCAAGGGAAGTTACTGAAGCTTCCAAACTCCAAAGTTCGAGCAATAGTTACCTTGGAATCTACTGAAGGATCTGTTCTGAGAGCCTTGTCAGGAGAAGACGTGAAGAAAAAGTGAATAAAAGGAAAGAGAAAGAAGAATCTGTGCATAGAGACACAGAAGGGGTTACAGTCAGCGAAGGAGATTGAAGACTGAGAAGGAGTTAGGGGGGCCTGAAAACTTGGTCGATGGAAAACAGGGACAACAGGTGGATGACGACTGTGAAGAAATTGAAGAAGGAGCTCAAGTGACTGAATGCCTGGTAGAGGTTATAGAACCAGATTTAGGAAGGGGAGAAAAGGAGGAGTTGGTGCAGGAAAATGATACAGGAAAGGTTGTGCAGGTAGCAGAGAAGAAGGTGACAGAAGGGGGAGAAGAATCGTGAGGAAGGAGTAGATCTTTCAGAAGGGGAAGGGATTCAAAGGGAGAAGAAGAGTAGGGGAAGGAGGAGGGAATGTTTTGAAGAGGAAGGGATTCCACAAGAGACTGAAAGCAACTTAGGGACGGAAAGGTGCAGGACCATGTCAAAGGAAAATGAGGGGGAAATTTTCAGGGAGGAAGAAGGGACGGATAAGGTAGGAGAAAAGAGCGGGGATAAGGGAGCAGGGAGGGACCAAGTGTATCAGAGAAAGAAGTATAGGACAAAGCCTTTAGAGGATAAGGAAGAGGAGAGGAACAAGATCAAGTGATGATTGATGAAACACACCAAGTCAGACAGACCGAGAATATTGGGAAGGTGATTGATACGAGGATAAAGGTTAGCAAGATCCTGGGCTTATTTTTTCTAGGGGAGGAAGAGTTCACAAGGGAAGCCTTTAAAGAAGTTGAGGAAGAAAGTTGAGGTAAAGAAAAAGGATTTACAGATAGAGGCTTCAGGGGAGAAAGGAGTCCGAAAAAATAAAAAAGAAAAAAAGGGGAATATAAGAAGAAAAGAGAAAAAAAAAAAGAAAGAAGGAAAAGAGGGGAAGAGAGGGATAAGAAGAGAGAAACTGCAACATGAAGATTTGTTCCTGGAGCATAAGAGGGCTGAGAGATCCAAAAAGAAGGGAGGTGGTTAGGAATTTTTTATGAGAAGTTTTAGGATTGAGGTGTTACTCTTGCAAGAATCTAAATTGAGGAGGTTGACTGGAAGATTATTAATGAGGTATGGGGTCCTAGCTGTAGAGACTGGGTTTTCAGAGGGGCTGATGGTTTGTCTGGAGGCCTGATTACAATCTGGGATTCTGGCCTGTTAAAGCTTGTTGGGAGTCAGGTTTTCGGTGGTGCTAGAGCATGTTTCCTCTAGTATTCAGGTGATGGTGTCAAATGTTTATGGTCCAAATCAAGATAGGAAAAGGGGGAGGCTGTGGGAGAAGTTAGAAGAGATTCATGAGGTAGGGGTGGCTCCTTGGCTGATTTGGGGGGGGGATTTTAATGTAGTTAGGAGACCCGGGGAAATGAAAGGGGGGAGAGATGGAAGATGGTCAGCGGCCTCTAGGGAATTTGGAGATTTCATTAGGAGAAATGAGTTGGAAGAACCAGGTTTGGTGGGTTACAAGAACCCCCTATTTTGAGGAGACTGGATAGGTTCCTGTGCAACCAGGAGCGGGAAATCATGTTTGAGACTTTGATTCAAGAAATAATTGCCTTTTCTTTTTCAGATCACAAACTG